TAATAAAAGAATAGAAGTGGGGCACCAGTTGAAGTCATTCTGTGGTATTGTTTTGGGTTGGTTGAAGTGCCTTTTTCTTGTATTTCTTGTATTTTCAAGAGTAGTAGTTCCAGTTAAGAGTTAATAGTGAGGAGCCAGTCACAAGAAAGAGAATGCATGGTGGAGACCCATAGATAAGAACTATTCCGGGCTCGCAGTCATTCAATTTTGGAACTGGAAAAAGTGAAGGGTCAGTTAGTAATAGAACGAGAAAAGACCGAGTTATTGGCATAAGAGAAATTAGTATTGAGTGACCAATACAGATGTGAAACGGAGCGGTTCAGGGCTGAAATTGAGGCCTTGAACGCCGAGGTGACAAGATTGGCAAAGGATTTAGTCAACATTGGTCAAGCACAAGTATCGACGTTGCCAGTTCTCGAAGTTCCAGAAGAGAGGAATCACTTTCAGCGCCAGTTGGAATTGAGAGATGCCCACATCCTAAAATTGGAAGCTCAAGTCCGTGAACTGGGCGAGTACAATGAAGACCTTTCAGCTCAATTGAAGCCGGAGTCGATGGAAGGATTGGAGGAGGATGAAGATTTGCAGTTGGAACCAGAATCGGTGGAACCAATAACAGATACTGCGGCAATTGATTAATTAGATAGGCCAAAGGGATTATAATTTTTGTAGAGTTTTGTTAGATAATTTTTAGATAAGTATCAATTTAGTGTTTGCGAGGATGCTGCACAGTTAGGAGTGGGGCTATGTAGAATAAGTAGTTATTTTCAGAATGTAAATACCTAGTGTATAGTGTAAACAGCTATAGATAACTGCTGAAAAGGTGGTTCAGCAGGTAGAATGGATGAATAGTCAGGAAAAGTAATTATCATCCATAGTATAGGAGTTGGTATCTCGAGATAGTATAAAGAAGATGGGAGAGGGGAAGAAAATGCCAGACTGTGAGAGTCGTAAGCCGAGGGCCAAACTGTGAGAGTTGTAAGCCAACGGCCAGATAATGAGAGTTGTAAGCCGAGGGCCAGACTATGAGAGTCGTAAGCCGAGGGCCAGACTGTGAGAGTCGTAAGCCGAAGGCCAGACTATGAGAGTCATAAGCCGAGGACCAGACTGTGAGAGTTGTGAGCCGGGGTAAGCTTGGTGCTACCTCTTTTCATTTGTTTGTTATTTTCTTTGAATAAGAGGATTGAAAGTTTCTGAATATTGTGAAGTGAACTATGGAATGGAAATGTTATTGGTATTATTTGAGAAGAAGAAAGATTGAATGCTGAAATGTGATTGTAGTTCAGCAGAGAGAATGAGTCTGTGTTTGTGTGAAACACTGTAATATGAATGGCAGTTTTGTGTGAAGAATTCCAGTGATTGGAACTAGGGTAATTGTGTGCTGAAAGCTGTGAGGGCACAGTATTACAGTTAGAAATTAAGAGGATGAATATATTGGTGGAAATAGCAGTTATTGGTATGACTGAATTGCTGTAAGGAAGAGACCAATAAGGTGAAGGAGGAGATTGTAGTTTCCTTATGTGTTCAGATATTAGAAATAGAGACAATACATTTAGGAGGTAATTGATTGTATGACCCTAATGTGAATGCTTAAGCAACTAGTCATTCCCCGTATTCGAATCCCCTTATACGGGTTTATGCTGGGAGGTTTCTTTCGGAATAAGTAAAACGAGCAATCACAAAAATCTTAACAACTTCAATTTCAGCTTAAGATGTTTCAGGATTAAGATTCATTGTAAAAATTTCTAGTGCTCGAAATATAAGTATTATATTTTTTTATTGATTAGATACTCCTTATTGAAGAAATAAAAATTAATTCTCTTTAAAATGATAATTTTGAGAATGTGCATGTAATAATATACCAGTTGATGGATCAACAATAAGAATAATACTTGGTGAATCAAAACCAATATATATACCTTCTTATCAATGAGCTTCAATGGTGCATCATTGAGGTTCTAGTATTGGAATCCAAACATGGCAACCAAACATTTGTAGATAACATACATTAAAAACATGACATGAAATAAACTCTTATATTATAATAATTTTAAGAAAAGAGTGACAGAGGTATATTAATGCTACAACATGCAAAATTGCATGATTCCACATAGATGCACATAAATTTACCTAAAAGAGTGGTCAGATAATGAATTGTATATACTTTATAAATGACTTTGTAAGTCTATTTTGAGTATGTTCATGTAGAACACCATATGTCAACTCAATCTTTGTTGCAATATAGTAGTCTTCATAAGATTTTGATGTAAATTCTTTTGTATTGTTTTCATAGAATAATCAAGAAAATATACTCAAAAATAAATAAGCATAAATATTAAATTACAAACATCATATTTCAAGTTGATAATAAAGAAACATGTGATTGTTTGCCTGATGCATCAACAAAGATAAAAAAAAAAATATCAAAATAGTCCAAATATTGGATTAATAGGACTACAAATATCACCATACAAATTTTCAAGCATTGATAGTAATTCTCATCAAAGTTTCTAAATTGAAGATCAAACAATCATTTTATCTTATATACATGTATGATGTAATTTTATAGAATTTATAATTATAGATTTTAAATTATGCTCAATTATATATGGAATTATCTTTTGAAATAACATAGATTTTGGATATCCCAATTGTCCATGCTAGAGAAAAAAGCGACTCTTTGTAATAAGTGATGCAAAATTAAATATAATAGGAGGCCAGTTTACAATCTGATATAAACCATTTATTGCAACAAAGGCTTTTTCAATAATTTTATAATTTTGTGTAAGAAAAAAAAAAAAAAAAATTATAATTTTATTTCTGTACAAGAAGTAGATAAGATATGAGATTAAGATGACTTTGAAATTTCATGTTCCTATATTGTTGTATAAGTATAACAAATGCAAAAGAAAATGTAGAGAGTTTTTTCAATCATTTCTTCTTTAGAGATATTTTGTCCACACAATTGTAGTTGTAAGACAATACAATAAATTTTACCATTGAAATTATTTATATTTTGAAAATCCAAGACACTAAAATGTATCCAATCATAATATGCATGTAAAAGAAAAATGGTCTTTTGATGATCAAACATGGATTTAAGATTCTTTCAAAGCTTGGCTAGATCTTCCATTTCTAAATATTGATATTACAATGCAAGTGTAAGATGACAACAAAAGAGAAAAAGTACTATCCAATGGATAGCAAGAAAAATAGAAATACATATAGTAAAAAATTCTTCAAATAAAATTACATCTAAGAGTTATTTTGTAAAAAAAATTATTTTTTTTCATTTTTTTCCATAATAGATAATTATTTCTATCAGCGACTAATGATAGAAATAGAAGAGCTTAAAAATATTGGGATGTAGTGATAATAGTTGAAAACATAGTAGAATTAATTAAAGATATTGAAGCACTCATTATAAATTTGTGAAGAAAATATAAGATCAAGTGAAAAAAGGTTGAATAAAATGCATCTTAAAATGTACATCAAATAAAATAATAAAGTTGAACTTAAAATAAAAAATTCTAAAAATTTTAAGAAGTTTTTTTTTTTTTCACAAAAATAGTGGACTGCTGCAGTAGTAGTAAATGACAGATGGTGGACGATAGATAGCAACAATGACAGTGACGGTGATAGCAACAATAGAGAATGATGTCAACACTCACATTGATGATAGATAGTGATGGCAATAGTGACGGGGATGACAATTCAACAATGGGATTGTGAAGGTAGGTAAGAGCTAACAACAAGTAGTAGCAGGCAAGCAACAAGCAAGCAACAAATAGGCATGGCAATGTAGTATAGGAGAAAAAAATAAAGGGAAGATGAAAGGCAAGATATACACATATTTTTAAGAATCAAGATTAGTGCACAAGAGCAGTTGTGTTGATAACATGTTGAAAATATCTTAGAGAGACACAAGAGTAGCTAGAAGTAATGTGCACATATATATAAAACACAGACACACATACATACAAGAGAGTACACAAAAGGAGAGAGAGTTTCTAAATAAAAAAAACTATATATTGATGTGGTTGTCTCTCTTCTATACAAAGAGAAGGAAGAAAAAATAAACAGTTTCTTTCTAATTCATTCTAAACACTATAGCTATAGTATTTACTATAAGTACAATGAATGTTATGGAAAGTACTGACTATATTTAATGCTCTCAAGAGTTACATACTACTTTTATTCGAAATGCAAGTTGAGAAGTAAAAATAAAGTGAAAAATGATTATCATTGTTTTTATGATATAAGTTCCTTAGAGTAGAAACATGTGATTGTAGCAAGGAAAAAATTGGCCAAAACATGTAGCAAAGATAAAAATTCCATAAGGAATACAAAAACTCATAAGAATGTTGGCATGTAAATGAAATTCACAATCATGTCTATTATTCTAAGTTTGAGCAGCTCTCTATCTACTTTGAGCTTAAAATGCTCCAACATTCTCTTTCTAGTGATCCAACTTCCATGTCATGTGGATTAGCAAAGTATGAAGAAATTAAAGTTAAGCCACAAAACTTTGCATGTTTTTGTTATAATATAATTAGGATTTTTATACTTTTTGGTATCATTCTATAAATGATGAATTAAAGCTTGCAACTACTTCTTGCACAATGTTGTAGAAAAAAAAATATATTTTTCTTAAAAGCAGTTATATTTCTTGGTAGAGATGCATTACATAATTAAATTAGAGAATTACTTGTCTTGAAGTAAAGAAGTTGGTATACTGATATTAACTTAGGGATATTATATTAAAAAATAATTATATTCAAAATAAATAAAAGAAGAAAAGTAATCTTATTATGATTTTTTTTTTTTTTTTTTTTTTTTTTTTTGAGGTTTCTAGACTTCTGTATATAAGTTATTATATTATTTTTTCTCAATTTTTTAAAAAAATCTTAAATACTACTAACAGTTATTAAAATTTCAATTATATAAAAAATGTGCACATAATTTTTATTATTATTATTATTAGTAGTAGTATTTACAAGAAATATAAAATTTTAAATTAAATACATTATTCCTGATGTAAGTTTATTTGCACCAGAATAGTAATTCATAAAATAATTCCTTTTAGTGCCTCTGGGCAAAGAATACTCGAAAGCTTGCACAAGCCTGGCCACGCTGATTTGCAGCAGCAAGTTCCCCAGAGGCATGCCGGGACACTGGCGTCGACCAGCTCCGAAAGGAATTAACTGGAAGTGAGTGCCACCGACGTCGACGTCGCAGTTCAAGAAGCGATCAGGATTGAACTGGACTGGATTGGGCCAGTACTTGGGATCTCTCTGAATCGCGTACAGGTTGATGCACAGCTGCGTTCCGGCTGGGAGATCGTACCCGCACACAGTTGTCGGCACGATGGATTGGTGGGGCAGACTGAGCGGCGCCGGAGGATAGAACCTCATAACCTCTTTCACCACCGCTTGCAGGTATGGCAGGTTGGGGAGGTCGGTCTCGGAGACAATCCTGCTCTTGCCAACTACAGTATCGAGCTCCTGTTGGAGCTTGCGCATGCACTCAGGATGGCGCATTAGCTCTGCGATTGTCCACTCCATGGCGTTGGAAACAGTGTCGGTGCCGGCTAAAAGCATGTCCTGCATTCAATAATCATGAGTTAATCCTACGATTACGGCTCCGGAAATGTGGAGTGCTGCGTTCATCAGAAGATTGCGTAACTTGCCTGAATCACACTCCTGATGGTAGCGTCCTCGAGGGGGCCGTCACCGCTCACAGTTTTCTGTTCAAGAAGCAAATCCACGAAGTCCTTGGCCCTTTCAGCGGTGGCCTGGTCGCTCGCCGCTTTCTTGATTTCAAGGAACTCTTGCAAAAATGCGTCCAAGTCAGCTTTCACCCTCTTCAAGTACTTTACGTATCCGGAGGCGATAGAAACCCATTTGAGCCATGGGATGAAGTCACCGATCATTGGCGTGGACGAAGCTCTGAACAATTCGAATACGAGCTCCTTAAAACGGTGAGCCTCCATTTGCCCCTTTTCGTCAACCGTAAAGAATCTGCAATAACCACAACTCGCATTTTAGTCATCAACTTGCATAAAACACAATGTGCGCGAGACAACTTCGAAATCAAGATCTGGGGGAGATTTTTAACCTTTTGCCGAGGAGCATGCGTGTGATGTTGTTGGTGGTGAGGTGCCCAAGCTTCACATGGAGCTTGACTTCCTTGCCAGCAGCTACGTCTTCATGAATCGACGTCATCATTTGGTTAATCTCCTCTGTGCGGGGAGTCCGAAATGACATCAGTCTCTTCGGCGTGAAGAGGTCCATGGTGCAGATCTTCCTCAAGTGGCGCCAGTGCGCTGCGTAGGGCGCACATACAATATTTCGGTGATCGTTAGTGAATATCTTATCAGCAGTGGTGGTAGGCCGATCAGCCCATTCCTTGTCTTGTGTCTTCAGAAACTCATGTGCGGCTTCAGCTGTGGACACGACCAAGAGCGGTTTACTCCCGATACGCATATACATGATGGGTCCGTATTTCTCCGCCATTTGCATAAGATTTCGACGCGAGAAATCACCGATCTGATGTATGTTGCCAATCAGAGGTAGCGCCCTGGGCCCCGGGGGCAACTTCCCAATCTTCTTTCGCAGCTTCATGATCGTTAACACCATAGTGGCGATGGTCACACAAGCTGAAAGCACAACGTGCCATTCTGCACGCATTCCACCGATTTCCATCATCTGGACTGCCGTCAGCTGAGTCGCGTTAGCAGAGTCTTGAGCTGCGATTGCCATAGCGCCACCTATCTTTCGGCTATCACCCCCTCCTTCACCTAATATCGTTCAAAGCATGTTTGCAACGATCGCATCGGGTAGTCCCCTCCACGTAGCAAGCATATCGTCTTATAATAGTTCCAAGTCTCTCGTCAGCGATCCTGGCATTCAAAATCCCACGCTGCAGTCAATTGTCAACATCGAGCAACAGTGGAATCGACATCAGAAGTCAGATTCTAGTCCATCAACCATCAGTCAATGCAGGTCGACGTCTTTCGATCAGTTGGGATCCTTTTACAATCTCTTCGGCCCTTTCTTCAATGCATCTAGAATGCTTTCACTGCTTTGAATAGCAATCTCCTGCACAGTCAATTTTCTGTAGATATATCCTTTCCCTTCAAAGCTGGAGGCGCAACCTACTGCGACCGTTTCCTGCCTGTGTGAATAGGGTTCTGCATTTGGTTGACTGCTTTCAAGCATGCATATCCGTACGTACTGTCTTTTACCTTGTGTAGGGGTACCATCGTCTGTATTGTCTAAACAATATATAATAATAACAATAATAATTGATATTTGTACGAATATTTGTACAATGTTTGATATTTCTATGAATATTGTATGATGAAAAAATTATGAAATTCTTTTAATTTTTTTTATATGTAAATAATCATAGAATAAATGTATCATTTTAGTCCGTACAATGTATTGGCTTTTCTACAATTAAATTATTTGTGGTTCTTTGATATATTTTTATTTTAGAATAATATCATTCTGACGTCTTTTTAAATGTAATTATATAAAATTATATAAATAAAATTAATTAATTAATCAAATTTATGTATTAAATTTGTAATAAAAGATTAATAGTTCATAGATTTTGAAGTAAAAATAATTAATAATATATATGTATATATATATATATATATATATTATATTTATGCTTTTATTTTATAAATTATATTAACTTTAAAAATATTCAATATGTTGTTAAGTTGAAACTAAGAATTATAATTTGATATTTGCAAAGATAATGATAGCAAAAAAAGCAAACATTCTCCAAAAAAAGATTTGTGTTACAAAACATCTTAGATTTTATTAAAGTATATATATATATATATATATATATATATGTATAAATATATGAAAATATATTATGATGAAACTCCTTATTATATAATCAACTATCTTCATATAAGTTCTAAGAAAAAACATGTAAATAGCATCCATTGTAATACCATATTTTTTTTATTTGATGGAAGATAAGAGTTCTTATAATAGCTCATTAATTATTTTATTTAGTCAAATTATATATAAAGAATATTAAAATAGTAAGTTCTATTTAATAGCATAGTTAAAGTTTTAGGAAAAAGAATTTATCTAGATTTTATACATATATCTTATTTTCCATAGTTTTAAATTGATTGTAAGAAAATATTAATAAATGAATAGAATTCTACTTGTAGAAGTAAAATTATACTATTATTATAGGACTTTTTATCCTATTAACATAAATTATTATAATTACTAAGATAAAAAGAATCTTTGTTATATTATCTTGATTCTTATTAGACTATATCTCTATTATCTATCTCATTCAAAACAATGGCTATGTCCATGTTTCCATAATCACAAATTTCATATTTATGTTCAAGTATCCTTCAATCATAGTTATATCCGTGACCTTCAATAATGGTCTTACCTATGCCACTTAATCACAACTATGGTCTTTAATTATAGCCATGCTTAAGTAACTTCTATTGTCCAACCTAAAATTGTGGTTGGTCTCTTTAGCTAGATAGCCCATCTTAATTTGATTTTGCTCTTTAATCCAAATCTATAATAATTTGACCTTGGATTTTAATTTTTTTTATTATCAATTGCCAAGTTTCATAAAAATGTTACAAGTTGCATCTTATCATATTAAGCAACACTTGAAAGAAAGACCTTATAACAAAGGCTGTTGCAAATTCACTTCTTTGGACCTGATAGAATCTTGTAATTATATCTTTAGTTGATAATAGACATACTTTCTTGCCCTTGTTCAATTCTTGTCTAATGTCATGGTACCTTATTTAATTCCAATTTGAAGGTCTTTTTCAAATTTTTTTAGTATCATAATGTCTTATTTGATTTTAATTTTTGTAATTTTTTATTTCTAATTTTATATGGCAATGGCCTTGCTTGTTGCTAATTTCAAGCTACTATATCATGGATATACATATTTATTCTAATAACTACTTAAGTAATATGAATAGGTAGAAGTAGATAAAAATAGATTAATTTCATAATATCTTTTAGAAATACTTCCTAAAAGCTTCTTAGATACAACTTCACTTTTATACATGTCTATAAGTGATTGATAGATTAGAAACTTGGCCAATAACTAGCCATGTATTGAATGTATTGATAGCTTATGGTACAAGCTAATGATATGGCATACATATAGAAAACTTGCATTACAAGTTCAAATATGTGTCTTACAAATTAGACATGTGTTGGAGGTCTTATAGATCATCACTATATCCCTCTTAGATAGATAGTACATATAGAGGCAAGAATGAAACTTTATTCATTTTTATCAACTTCTTTCTTATTTCCAATTTAAGGATCTCTAATTTTCGTATCTTATGACAATAGCCATTCTAGTTTTTTTTAAAATATATATATATTTTATTATTTTAAAAAAAAATTATTTATTTATTTGCTTTCATCAATTTTTTATCTTTGATAGATTAATAAGAGTATATTTATAATTTCAAAGCTTTGTCTCTTTTTGATTGGAGGCAAAGAGAAATAAGATTGGTAAGTAGTGAAGATATAGAGATGATTGAAGTTGCTTCAATATCTACACCAAATTGTGCTTGTTTTCCTATTATGGAATACTATTCAAGCATTAAGAAAAAAATATACATATTTTATTTAAGAAGTTTAATGGTACAAGATCAAAATATTGAAGATTTATTAATCAAGTAAAACTGATAATTGAACTTTAATTCTTAAGATATTCAATTCCAAGATCATAAGTCAAGTTTATTAGTATTTTTTTTCAAGTTCTATGTTATTATGGTTTTCATCTTTTCTTGAATGACATGATCTAATATTGAATAATTTAGAGATTTTTTTTGGTGTATTTTTGATTCAAGTATAGAGAACATGATGCAATTTATGTACAAAGAAACAAGATTTGTATTTTACAACAAAGCAATCAATTTATAACATTGTATACTTCATAATTTTAACAACTTATGATTGATATTAAGTGGAATGATGCTGCACTAATTAAAAAAATTATTTATAGATTACAATATGAAGTAAAAAAATTGATACTCAATTTTCCTAATTCTTAAACATTAAGTCATATAATTGACTTTTCTACGAAGAATAATAATCAATTTTTTGAATTTTGATCCAAAAATTATACAAGAAGACTTCAACATTATTTTAATTCAATGAGAATATCAACCTCTTTTCAACACATATGTTCAAAAGTAAAGGATATGCAAATTAATGTGATATGTTTCAAATCTCTCATTGAGTAAGAAAAGACTCATCATCATTAGGAAAGATTGTGCTTATATTATGTAGAATCTAAACACACTGCTTAACATTATTCAAAGAAGCAAAGCAACTATAAAATAAAGAATATGGATGTCAAAGAAGATAATATGTTAAAAAATAAATTTATTTAGCTATAATAAAAACCATGCGGCTCAAACCTTATACAATACCTAATACAAGTTCTATTCTTTCTTCAAAATCTTCTCTTTGTTTTATAATAGATATTAATTTATGACCTAAATATCACAAAGCTTGTATCTTGTTAGATTTAAGAGCCTCAGCTTGTTTTTTAAATGAAGAGTTTGTTGAAAGATGTAGCATATCTTTAATGAAGAAAACAAAATATATTCATGTAAAAGTCATAAATGGTCATCTATTATCTTTTAGAGATGTTACTCATGAAATTCTTCTTATAGAAATAGCAATTAATGGTTATAGTAGCTTTGTAATATTTAATATTATTATATTTCTTTCTAATCTAATCATTTTAGGTTTATTGTAGCTAGTAAAGTATAATCATCAAATAAAATAGATTTCTTGTAGTCTTGATTTTTTTGAAAATACAACTAAAAGTGTTATTAAGCAAATAAAAAGTTATAAGTCTAGTATAATTAAATCCGTATTTATAAATGCAAGTGCTTTTTTGCATGTTACAAAAGAAGAATCATCTTGTATTATTTATGCCACATCTATTTTTAATAGTCAAAAGATATTAAATTATATTCTAAGTCAATATCAAGATTTTAAAGATGATTTTGAAAAAAAAATATAGATCCTCTTCTAAAACATTATTCCTATAACTATTCAATTATCCATCAAGAAGGAGCTCAACTACCATTTAAATAAATCTATAATTTATTATAAAATGAATTACTCAAATTTAAAGAATACATTGAAGAGAATCTAGCTAAAAATTTCATATGTCATTCCAAATCTCCAATAAGAGTTCTAATCTTATTTGTTAAGAAAAAAGATGAATCATTGCAAATATGTATTGATTATCAAGAACTCAATAAGATTACTATTAAAAAGAATTACCTTTTATCTTTGATATTTGGACTTCTTGATTAATTTAATCAAGCTAAGATCTATACAAAAATAGATCTATAAGGAGCATATAATTTAGTATACATCAAAGAAGGAGATAAATAGAAGATTACATTTTGAACTAGGTATAGACATTTTGGATACAATGTCATATTTTTTGAAATTATAAATATATTAGTAATTTTTTAACAACTAATAAATGATGTTCTTTGAAAATTTTTGGAAGATTTTATTGTTTGTTATGAAGAAAACATCTTAATTTATTTTAAGAATATAAAAAAATATGAATTTCATGTTTGTCATGTATTACAAAAACTAAGAGATGCAAGGATCTATACTAAGATAGTAAAGTGTATATTTTATGTCATTTAAGTTGACTTCTTAGGATACATTATTTCAAATAATGTCTTCATGATAAATCCTACAAAAATTCAAACCATTATAAAATAGAAGATCCAAAAAAAAATAAGAGATGTTCAATATTTTTTGAGAT